ACCTCAGACTTCGCTTTGTTTAAAAATTAAAAAAAAAAATTGTTTATGTATTTTTGGCTGCACTGGGTCTTCATTGCTGTATACATAGGCTTCCTCTAGTGTGGTGAGCAGGGGCCACCTTCGTAGTGGTGCAGGGCCTTCTCATTGAGGTGGCTTTTCCTGTGAGGGAGCACAGGCTCTAGGGCTCTTGGGCTTCAGTAGCTGCATCTCGCTGGCTCAGGAGCTGCAGCTCATGGGCTCATGAGTGTGGGCTCAGTGATTGAGGTGCATGGGTTTAGTTGCTCCATGGCATGTGGAATCTTCCTGGACCAGGGATAGAACCCATGTCTCCTGCACTGGCAGGCTGATTCTTATCCACTGCACCACCACGGAAGTCCCAAACCCTCAGATTTCGGACTCAGTCACAGGAGAATGTGTAAGGATTCAACTGAGTAGCCCCATCCCCAGGCATCTCATTGACTGGCTTCCCACCCATGTCTGTCCACGCTAGACCCCCTCCTCTCCAGCTTCATGCCCCAAACCTCCAGACCCCGTAATGCCAAAGGACTGCTATCAAACGGTCACTTTATATGGCAATGGGAATGGATCCACTCCACTATTTTTGCCTAGAGAATCCTGTGGACAGAGGGGTTGGGTGGGCTGCTGTCCATAGGGTCGCACAGAGTCGGACACAACTGAAGAGACTTAGCAGTCTTCATCCTTGCCTATCTAAATAGAACACGAAAGTTGGTCATCACAGAGAATTTCTAAAAGGCTTGAAGTGAGAGTTTTCTTTTTACCAGATCAAATTCTCAGGCAGCCCTCACAGGAGCCCATTGGTTGATCAGAGGAAGCAGCGGGACCATATCTTTCTCCCTCTGATACACATGAGTATTTGACGGGTAGTAGAGACTCAGCATTTCCTCTGGCCAGGCCCGGGTTGCTGGACAGTAGTCCTCTGAGTCATTTTATCAGAGGGAGTCTCAGTTTCCCCTCCCAGGCTCTGACCTGCCCAGCTGGAGTGGACAGCTGTGTGCAGCATCCCTGGGGAACAGTTCAGAGGTGGGTGGGGTCGGGGCAGGACTGCAAAGCCAGGGACACTTACCCTCCCCCACTTAGGAGGAAAAGTGACTAGGATTTCCTCTCCCAACCCTCCGACCCCTTGAAAGTTTTAATGGGTGGAGGAAGCTGGAAAAGCAGGGGGGGCGGGGGCGGGGGCAGAGAAGAGGGTGTGAAGGCTTTAAAGAAACTTATAATAATTTCAATCAGCATTTCCCTTCCATTTAAAATCACAAACGTAGCCACTTAATCAAATGTCATGCTTAAGACACATTTACCTCCTTGGGAGAAAAATGAACAATGGCAGCTCAATTTGGCTTTGGATGGGTTTTAAAAATAGTCAAGTTTGTGAAGGCCATTAGGTAAACGGTCTAAGAGCTTCAGAGAAGGACCTCCCGCTGGGGGTCGGCCAGCTTCTTTGTTGGGAAAATAGTGCAGGAAAGAGGGGCTCCCAGAGGCTGGAGCCGGCCTGGGATTCCAGGTCCCTGGGTGCAGCCTTCTCCTGGGTGGGGGACCTGGTGATCTTTCAACAATGGGTACTTCTGAAAAGTTCTCTTTTGCATTTGTTGGACCTTGTAGGTGTGTCTGTGCCTGTGTGTGTGTGCGCACGCTGGTGTGCTGAGGGGGAGATGACTTATACCATCCCCTCCAAACTCCCAAGAGAGGAGAAAAATGGACTGGTCAGAAATATGAGATGCCAGCCAAGCACAAGAAACCAGTTAGTTACATTAACAGTGAAATATGTCATTGATCTTAATGTTAGTTGCTCAATCGTGTTCAACTCTTTGCGATCCCATGGACTGTAGCCCATCAGGCTCCTTCTGATTCTCCAGGCAAGAATACTGGAGTGGATAACCATTTCTTTCTCCAGGGGGTCTTCCTGACCCAGGGATTGAACCAGGGTGTCCCTCATTGCACGCAGAGATTCTTTACCGTCTGGGCCACCAGGGAAGCCCAATACGACATGATTTTATTCTTTTTCAGCACATACAAATGACCATGTTGGGACTTCCCTGGTGTTTCAGTGGTTAGGACTTCACTTTCTACTGCAGGGGTTGTGGGTTCGATCCCTGGTCAGGGAGCAAAGATCCCAAATGCCTTGCAGCTGGAAAAAACCAAAAAACAAAAGCAAAAAACAAAACAGAAGCAATGCTGCAACAAACAATTAAGACTTTAAAAAAAAAAAAAGGTCCACATAAAAAAACCTTTTAAGAATGACAATATTTGTATCAAGATAAAAAAATAAAAACAAAATAAGAGTTGTTCTCTTTGGAGGATTTGCAGCGGAGTGGTCAGTGCCCCAGAGAAACAGAAACTGGTAGGTCTTCATCCTAAATCTGACTTTCCAGCCTGGGTGAGGGCAATCTCCCTCCCCCAGGGGTGGAAGGAGCCTCACCAGGTCTTGGTGATTCCCTGCTGGGTAACTTCCCTTCCTGACTGTCCCTGCCCCCAGCTCTTTCCAGAAAACACTTTCATTTACTGTCTTCTCAGCCCTGAGGTGCCTACCTGAGGTCCGGGGACCCCCTGGGTATGTGGGTAGAATGCAAGGGGTCTTTATACTTGGATGGTGAAAAAAAAAATCACATAAGTCCAGCATTTCTTTCTTTTATAACATAGCAGCAGAGCAAGGCGGTGTGACATACCTGAGACGATCAAACAGAAACTGCAGGCATTTCTCTTGCATCACCACGACTGTGGATGGCTCAGAATATTACTGCCCATGTCCGGACACAGCCAAATCATGGCACACTTTGGATCTGCCAATTCACCCTCAGCGTAATAAAAAGAACATACACTGCTATATAAAAAATGCATTTTAATATTTTGTTGTGTTTCAGTACACTTGGTTTCCTAACAATCCTGTGCATTTTAGTCTATGCACTTAAAAATGTTCTGAGACGAGGGCTTGCATAAGGGTGCTGAAGGGGTCCTTGGAGCAGAGCTGGTCAGAACCCCAGGCTCACCTGGCCTGGCAACCTCATCAAGGGTTATTCTGCCTCCTGAAGGGCCTCCCTGGTGCAGCACTCCCACTTTATCCCGCTAGGTGGCAGCAGTGAGGACACTGCTTCTCTCCAGGCTTCAGGGGCCCAGTCCATCGTTCCCGGACCTCCCTTTGGGATCGGTCCACCCCCTTAAACCCTCAAGCGGAGAGAGGAGTCCAGCGGAAGACCCGCCAGGGGTGATCAGGTAGGTGAAATGCTGATTCAGCCTGCCGCTTCTTCGGACAATAATAGTGAAACAGTGTGAGGCAACCTCATTTAACCCCCACAGAAATCTCTGTGTGGAAGGGAATATGAAACCCATTTCACAGATGTGAAAACTGAGGACCCAAAGAGGTTGATAATGTGCCCAGGATCCCACAGCGAGTAGACAGTGGCACCTGGGCTACCTGCGTCAAAGACTTGGGGGTGATCTGGCCACCACACCACCCTGTCCCCTGCCTTCTCCTCTAGGACCTTCTCAGAGAGGCAAGTCACCCCCTTCTGTCCTGCCTGGGCAGAGGAGACCCCTATGACTCTCAAGGTCCTGGAGGCTCAGGGATAAAGTTGCCGGCCTGGGAGTCCACAGTTCCAGGGACAAGCACCGGGCCTGGCTCCACCCCACAACCATCTGCCCCCTCCCAGGGAGGCCTCTCCTGATAGAGGGGGTCTCTCACGTGGGCAGGGGGTTACAGAGCTTCACTGGGAGAGGCACCTGCATAGACCACTGGTACCTTCCCCTCCCTGGACCCCCGCATCCACACTTGCCACACAGGAGCTTCACTAGCTGATTTCTAAGGCCTGGTTTGTGCACCTCTTCGGGCCGCTGAGAGTTGGAAGCAGGGCTTTGTCGCGGCTGCTCACGGAGTGAGCGGGTCTGGCCTTCAGCGCGGAGTTTCCCAGGAGTCTCTTCCCGGTGGGAGGGACCCCGCCGCGGGCCCTTTCGCCTCTAGTCAAGGCCTTGCAAGGACAACCTAACCAGGTAGGCACGGGGAACTCCGGGGACCGACAGTCCGGGACGCCGGGGTCCTGGAACTCTCCGGGGTCCTCCTCCTTCGGGGCCAGCAGAGCGGCAGCTGCAGTCGGGCGATCGGGCGCAGCCGGACTCCCAGTCCAGGGGGAGGTTGAGGTTTCGGGATTCGGGACGGGACGGGACGGGACTGGTGGGGGGACCGAAGATGGTGGAGCTCCGACCAGGGACGCAGAGACTTCTCTCACCGGCGCCGAGACAGGGGTCCAGGCCGCGGGGAGAGACGCGTGCCTAGCAGCGGACCCTCCTAACTTCCTGACTCCCGCGGCCGCTTCCGCGCACCTCTGCCTGAAGGAAACTTTTCACCCCGCGCGCCTCCCCCGCCCGCCTCCTGCCGGCCTCCGGCGCCGCGTCCGTCTGCGGAGCGAGCGCTCAGACGGAGCCCCCGGCCAACTTGAGCGGCGCCGAGCGGCGGCGGAGTCCCCGGCAGAGCCCCCCAGTCGGTGGCGCGCGCGGGAGAAACGCGTCCGCCAGCGTCGCCGCCGCCCGCACCCCCGGACCTCGCCGCCCCCTCGGCGCAGGGCTCGGGCCGGATCGAGAACCGCGCCGCGAGACACGCACTGTGCGCGGCGGCGCCGCCCGCCTCCCTCTTCGCCGCTCCGGAGGACGAAGCCGCTGCTCCTAAATCCTCGCCGCGCGGCCGCGGCGCCGGAGTGCGCCCCTCCCGGGCCGGCAGCCGGCTCCCTCACCTCACCGCTGCCTTCGCCGGGTCGCCCCCGGAGGGGGTCGCGAGCCCTGCACCCGGGCCCAAGGATGTGCGCCCCCGCGGGCCGCCCCGCCTGAACCATGCGCCCCAACGGCGGCGGCGCGCCGGCCGGCATGGAGCCCCGCGCGGCCGCGCTCTGACTCGCTCTGCGCCCCGCGGCCGGCGGGCGGCGGGCGGCGGGCAGCGGGCGGCGGCGGACCGAGAGCCGGAGACCGGCGCCGCGGGACGGAAGCGAGCGGGCGCGGGCGCCGCGCAGATGGCCGGGGCGAGCGAGATCTGAGGCTCTGCTCCCCGAAACGTGACCATGTGGATTCAACAGCTTTTAGGACTCAGGTGAGCGACCCGGCCAGCACCGGGGTGCGTGTGGGCGCGCGGGTGCGTGGGTACCGAGCCGGGCTGAAGCGGCGCTTTCCTCTGTGTTGCGAATAAAGCGAACCCCTCTCTGCTCCTGCGAGCGGCCAGCCGGTGCCCCGGGATCCGGGGCGGGGCGCTGCTCCGGAGCTTGGAGCCCCAGAGCCCCGCTGGCAGCGGCCGGCTGTCCCGGGTTCCGCGTGTCCGGGTCGCGGCGCCCGCCCCATTTCTCCCGGTTCTGGGGCCGGCCGGGCGCGCCCGCGGCTCCCGGCGCCAGCAGCGCAGTGTCCTGGCCGGCCGCCCCGGTGCGCCGCCTCTTCGGGGCCCAGGGGAGGCGCGGGCCGCTGGGCGCGGCGGGCTGTGGACCTAGGGCGGGGGCCGGGGCTGCCAGGGAAAGCCAGGGGGCTCCGAATCTGGCGAGAGCTCGGCTGGCGGAGTTAGAAGAAACCGAAGCCTGATAGCCACGCCGCCCTCTTTTCCCCTTCCTCGGGGCCCCGGGGCTGAGCAGGGGCCTCCTGGGCTCCCAGCTGCCGATCCAGCTGTTTGCCGGTGACCTCTGGGCCCGACGGGCGCGCACAGCTGGCGGGCAGCTGGGGCCGGAGACGTTGAGGCTCTGGGGGAGCGCGGGAGGGCACCCTCTCTCCCCTACGGGCAAACACCCTCCAGAAACGCCCTGGGGATTGCCTTTGTCCCGGACTCCAGGGCCGGTTGAAACCGGGGGTTCGAGCTCGATGCTCCCAGCAGGGGTACTCAAGAAGACCCTTCGGGGTAAACTTTGTTTGCCTGCCACGGCGCTCGGGTTTTAGCCCTGCTAGGAGCCAGTGGGACACACTTGTCCCCTTGGCGGGTCAGACGGGCTCCGATCCGTCGCCCTCCCTCCGGGGTCTCGGCGGAGCTGGTGCGTGTGGGTCCCGGGTTGCATCGGAGAACTGGAAGGACGCAGGCGGAGGCTGCGAGAGCCAGCGTGCGGTTCTCGAGTTTGTCCACTGGGATGCACTGCACTCCCGCTTTGGGGAGAAAGGGGCCCGGTCGTCGCCGGAGCCTGTGCCTGAGCCGCCCCCACCGCCAGCCGATAAAAGCTGGGGGGAGCTGGTTGAGGGGGGAATCGAGTGCGCGTCCTGATTTTGAGAAACTGGGAGAGGACGGCGCCCGCAAGGCGTCTCCTAGCTACCCTTGATTTATGAGACGATTCCCCAGTCCCGGGGCAAAGCCTGTGGGAAACATCTAGTGAGAATTGTCCAGTGTTATCCTTGGTCTTTTTCTAGAAAGCGGCGTTTCTTGTCGGGGTGGCCGGGTCGTGTTCGGCGGCCTGGGCTTTAATAGGTTAATAGTGAAGCGGGTTGCGCTGGATATTGGCTCAGCCTGAATCGATGTCCTGTGCTCAGACTAGATAAGGTTTAGGCTCAGCCGCTCTGGGACACAGACTCCATGGAGCGTCAGGGCAGCTCTGCCCGAGTGACCCCTTCCAGGTGCCCTCGCCTCTGCCTTCCGGGTTTCAGCCAGACCCCAGAGCCTTCTGAAAGATCAAAGGGGTCCCCCCTCTTTGGGAGAGGGTGCTCCTTCAGCTCACAGACACCTCCCCGGCTGCTGTCTGGCACTGCCTTCCTGATTGACTGCCGGCAAGTTATTTGAACCAACGTCTTTCTTTATTACTAACTTGCTAGATTGAAAGATTAGTATATTTTGATAAAGAGAAAAGAGAATAAATATTACTGGAAAAAAGAACCTCTCTGCTGGTTCAGAATTCACTAAAACAGTTCATCTAATGCATCCCTGAGTGAGGTCTACTTGGGATTTTGCTTTAGGAAATAGTTCTGTTGGTGATTTTGAAGTTTGACCTTTTGTTTTTTTCCCTTCAGTGTTAGCACAAGAGATTTTCTGTAAATGCGCCTCTTAGGACCGGCTGTCGCCTCTCGGGGAGGCTGGCAGGAGAGAGCTCTGTCATGTCTGAGAGCCATCCCTTGGCTGGCTGGCCAGGAGAAGGGCCGTGCTTGGAGGGTCTGCGTTTCTGCATCTCACCAGGCACAGCCTAACAGTCAGTGAAAGCCAGGGATGGCTTGCCTGGGACCTGCTAATGCATTTTTCCTTGAAGGCAGTCCATTACCTCTGCTCCCAAGCCCCTCCATGGCTCCCCCAGGTGAGCACCAGGCATTGTGCTGCCTGGCTTCAAGCCTGGTTGGGTCAGGCAAGCGTACGACATGGGGCCCAGGTGACCGGAGACGGCTCTGGGTGCGACCTGAGTGAAGACTCTCAGCTCTGGTTTGCGAGACAAAGTCTGGGCTAGGATTTCTGCTTCTGCAATGGAAAGGAGCTGTGCGCGGTGCCTTTTCTTCCGAGGAGGAGGAGGAGGAGGAACAGATTGAGTGTTTTGGAGCTGTTTTTATGCCTTTTTGGTGGTGGTTGTAGCAGAGCTCCAAAGATACCTTCCATCCGCGCAGATAAAGGTATCTTTTGAAGGTGGCCTCGGAGCCCTGCCAGCTGCGTCCGAGCTCGATCTGGGAGCAGCTTGAAGGGGATGCTTACTCAGCAGGCGGCGCAGATTTTAGAGTTCGGCCGCCTGCTTGTGAGTGGCCTCTGAGGCCACAGCCCTCCACGCAGCAGCTCTATCAGGGGCTCGGAGCCTGCAAAGCACTTGCCAGGTGTCCTCAGGGGCACAGTGGCTAACCAGCACCAGGCTCCTTGCAGGCCTGGTGCCTGTCCTTCTGCCTGTTCTTCCAGCCTCAGGTTCTGTTGCCCATTCTGTTCCGGAGGCCCTGGGTGTGCGTGCGGTGGGGGAGGGACTGTAGCAACATAAGATGACTCTTCTTTCATGGGGGTTCACACAGGTCCCCGCCGGCCACACGGTACAGTGTTGGGCCTCTGTGCACGGTCCCAGTGGCTTGATTGTCTCCATCGCTGCCTGTAAAGTCCTCCAGCAGCTGGGGCCTCGCAGCTGGGCTTTAGAGGACCAGGTCAGAGGCCCTGTCCACAGACGTCACCCTCCTGGTCAGTCTTGGTTCTCACCCACTTCCAGCTGCTGGCACCAAATCGATTACCACTGGAGCCCCTCGAGTGTCCGTGGCCGTGATACTCATCCAGGACAATATTGCTGGAATAAATCATCACTTTAGGAGACAGCTCACATCTTTTCTGCCACGTGGGTGCATCTCCCCCGACCACTCAAAGCTCCCCCACCCCCCAGGGGACACACTGTCCAAGCAGAGGAGGGGGCAGTAGGCTCCTCCCAGCCTGATGATTGATTTATTCTTTGGTTGATTTATTCTAATCACCTGCTTCTTCTTCTTCTGTGCATCAAAGAGGCCAGTAAGTGGGGAGCAGGGCACAAGCTGAGACAGCTCCTCTCCTCCCCGAGATGTCTGTCTCCCAGTCCCTGGAGAGAGAGCTGCTGTCTTCCCCATGCATCCTGCATCCTCCTAGCTCGGTCGCTCAGATGGCAGTGGGAACAGCAGCATCCCATCCCCCTTGTGGTCCCCAGCCCCCCAACCCGGACACCATCAAAGTGCTTGGGAGGTGTGGGCTGGGTGTGCTTCTTGAGTTCTTCATCCCCCAGACATTGTGTGGGGAAACCGTAGGGTGCACAGGGCACGTGGGTCAAAGCTGCACTCTGGGTCACGATGAAGTGGGCGGACACCAAACCCCGACCCGGCCGACCACTGCCGAGCTTCCCAGAGGCCCGGGCTCCTGTCTGGGGTTACGTAAGAGTCATCTGCTTTCCAAACGTAGTTGCCAAGTTTTCTTCAAAGGGCTACAACTCAGTAGAGACCAAATTGATGTAGAGATTAGCTTGGAAAGCCAAATATATCCTTGATCTAGATTTTCACGTTTGAAGTCTGGCTCGAGAGGGTTTCTCCTGCCCGATGCCAGTCAGCCAGGAGGGGGAGGCAGGAGGAGGACTCGCTGGGGCTACAGCAAACAGACACTGTGGCCCCCAACTCAACTCTCTCTCAAGACCCCCTTCCAGGAATTCAGAGGAGCTGGTGCATCAGGAGGCCACCCAGCGGGGAGTGGTGGTTACATAACTCAGATTAACTCAGTTCGTAGAAAGTCAGAGGCTGCAGTGTTCCCATGTCGGAGCTCTGGGGGCCCTTGGGTCCTGGCTTCCCCAGTGGCCATCCGTATAGAGCCTGGATTGTTTCTGGCTGCTTGGAGGAGTCTGCTCTGGACCCCTGTTGGGAGCAGCACTCTCTACCAGCAATGAGCCAGGCACAGTAGGGTGCTTCTTCAGGGCCGCTTCCAAAGCCCCTTCCAGAAGAGCATGCAGGACCCATCCCCTACTGCTGCTGGTGGTGGGTGGGGGGAGTGAGTTGGATTGTCTCCTAGCAACCTCTGAACCAGCGGAGTTAATTGGGATGTCCCAGCAGGCACAGTGAAGTAGCCAGGTGATGAGTGATGTTTCTCTGAGGATGCTAAGAGGCTAGAAGCCCCCCATTCATCTATGGGCATCTTTATACTAGATAAATACCTGCAACATGACCCAAAGAGAGCTCGGAGTGGAGAACAGTGGGAATGGTGGCATCCATTTTGCCCTTGTTGGCCCTGACCCACTGACCTGGGCACCATCAGAGTGTCATGTGCTGGCAAAGAACAGGGTCCTGCTGCTGTACCATGGGAGACTAGGGGATCAGGGGGCCAGGGGGGATCAGGGGGCCGGGGAAGATCAGGGGGCCTAGGCTGGAGGGACTGGGGATTGTATTTGCATCTCCATCCCAGACGTGCACTCTGAAAGAAGCTATTACCTTCTTTCTTTCTCCCCTCCCACCCAAGACAAGGTGGGTGGCAGCCGTGCTGGGTCCATCTGTGCATCAGCCTTCCCCACATGCCGTTCACGTGCTGATTCTGTCCACTCGCTGGGGCTTTTGTCATTGGTGCACTTTCTCTTGGGTGGTCAGCCGACAGAGCCCACTGTCTGTGCTCTCTTGCCATTTCCAGCCCAGGATGGGCAGTGTCTGCTGAGACCGCCTGCCCGAGTCCCCAGCAAGTCCGTGTCTGGGCTCCGTGTGTGACCTCAGGGGTTTCAGCTGGCACTGGGGCCTCGGGGGGTGTGTCTGCCAGGGTTACTGGTGCAGCTGTGCTCAGGCTTCCGGGTGGATGCTGGAGAGTAGCCCCGGTCTCTGGCTGCGGGTGGTGAGGGCAAGGGCCGTCTCACCCTTCAGCACCTCTTGAGAAGCGTGCCACCACTGTGTGGGTGCTCAGGAGCGCTCTCTTGAATGAGTAAACTTGTCCGCCTGGCCCAGTGCCCATGCTTTGTCCAAGGGTTGCCCTTGTAGTTACTCGGCCTTGACTCTGAACTAAGACCCAGGAAAGGAATGCACAGCCAGAGCCAGGCTTAGGTGGAGACTCTGTTCAACCCCACTTGCTGGTGCTCACAACCCCACCATTAGAGATTCATTCCTTTGGCTTAGAACTTCATCACAATTGGAATGCAGGCATATTCAGGAAAAACTATCTGAGCTACTGATCTGATAATAACGGAAAGCACTCAATGGGATAGTTTTCAGTTATTATCAGTTCAGTAGGAGTGAGAGCATCCAATTTTTAACTTTCTGAGAGGAAAGGTGAGTGTAGAAGAAAAGAGAACAGGAAGGCAGGCGGCACAGGTCTGGCTGTGGGAGCTAAAGTGCCACCAAGGGAAGTCTGAGAGACGTGGGGTACAAGTTGAGGGTGAGGGCAAAAGGCAGACTCACTGGCCGTGCCATGGACTGAGGTCTCCCCTCCGCTGGACTGTCTTGGGGGAGTAGGGACAGTTAATGTGCCTACTAGGGATTAGTGGAAGACAGAGCCAGTGCATCTGAAAGAGAATATTCTGGTCAGTATAGGAGTGCAGGTGGGCAGCTGGAGGATGTTGAGAAATGTTAGTGACACATAGACACCTTAAGCCATTTCTGTTCCTGTCTTAAATGTGAGCTGTGAAATTGTACTGTATTTGGATAAAGTATGCATGCTTTTTTTAATTGAGGTATAATTTTCATAAACATTATATTAATTTCAGGTGTACAGCATAATGATTCCATACTTGGATACCTGTGAGATGAGCAAAACCAGTAAATCTAGTTAACATTTGTCACCATACACAGTTACAGAATTTTTTTCTTATGATAAGAACTTTGGGGGGGGGGTAAATTAAGAGGGTGGGATTAACATATATACACTACTATACAGAAAATAGATAGTCAACAAGGCCCTACTGTATAGCACAGGGAACTATACTCAGTATTTTGTATTAACCTATAAGGGAAAAGAATCTGAAAAAGGATATAGATAGATAGATACATAGATAGTTGTTGTTTAGTTACTCAGTCTTGTCCGACTCTTTTGTGACCCTATGGACTGCAGTGTGCCAGACTCCTCTGTTCATTGGATTTCCTAGACAAGCATACTGGAATGGGTTGCCGTTTTCCTTCTCCAGGGGATCTTCCTGACCCTGGGATCTCACCCACTTAGGCTGCATTAGCAGACGGATTCTTTACCACAGAGCTATTGGGGAAGCTTCCTAGATAGAGCTTTATGTATATATCTTTTCTTGAAACTGACAAGACAGGGTAAATCAACTATAATTCAATTTAAAAAAGAAATTAAAAAACAAAACAAAAAGAACATTTAAGATCTACTCTCTCAACAACTTTCAAATATGTGATTCAGAGAACAGACTGGTGGTTGCCGGAGATGAAGGGTGAGGGGTGAGGGGTGGGGAGTGGGTGAATGGGTGGACGGGTCAAAAGGTACAAATTCCAAGAATAAAATAAGTCCCGGGGGTGTCATGTGCAGCTTGACACTGTAGTTCAGGAAACATATCTGCTGTAAATGTCTGTATAGCACAGAAAAATGTCCTGATCTCTGTTTTCACTTATATCTCTCATTGAGTTTGCTCCTCAGTTTCTGAGTGCCTGGGCATGCCCAACCAACCCCAAGTAGATGCCGTGCAGACCCAGAAATGAGTGGATTCCTCCTCTTCGAGACTCCTCACTCCAACAATGGGGGCGGGCAAATGAGGGGTAAAACATCCTTGTTGGGGTGGAGAAGAGCACTGTCCAATAGAAATATAACACGGGCTACATTCGTATTTTGAAAATTTTCAGTAGCCATATTAAAAGAAAAATGTAGCAGGTGAAATCAGCTTGAATGATATATTTAATTTTTCAATATATGCAAAATAGCATTTCCATGTGTCATCAGTCTAAAATAGGATTAATGAGAATTTCTTTTACATTCTTACCCTGCTCTGAGTCTTGGAGATCAGGAGTGCAGTTTACTTTCGTCTCTCCCTCTGGACTTGCTGCATTTGGGGGCTCATATTGGACACTTCCGCATGTAAACTCAGAAGTGAGAAAAGCAAGTGTTTGGAGACTGCCACCTCCCCAACCACTGTGCCATGTTGGCACCATTGCTCCATTAGTAAGAGCTCCGAGGAGGGCCAGTCTGGCCAGCAGCCCTCCTGATTCAACAGCGGGCATTTGCTGATGCCAGCTCTGTGCCGGGTCGGTGCCAGGGCCAGAGACAGAAGGATGAGCTGGAGTGGGTGCAGTGGCTACTGCCATTAGGGGCTCTTGGCTTGGAGATGGAGGTGGGCAGTGCTAGCAGGTCCTCCATACCTACCATACCATCAGGGGCCCCCCCACCAAGCTGTAATAAAATGCTTCTGGGGGCCTGAAGAGGGGATGGCAGAACTGTTCCTTTGTAACAGAGGTGTCAGAGGCTAGGGTCAGCTGATGCAGAGGAAAAAAACCAATGAAAGAGCCTAGTGAATACAGAAGCTGTGTCGCCCGCCAGAAAGGAGAGCTGACCCCCAGGAGGGGGCATTCCCCCCGCCCCCTGCCAAGTGTGCCCCAGAGCCAGTGCCTGGAGTGAGCACACCCTGGGGGACAGACCTCCTGGTGGGACCCTCTCACTCCAGCAGTGCACATTCACCGGATCTGTCCTGGTGGGGGCCTCCATCCTCTGCCCCGCCCCCCAGCACTTGTCACCAGTGCTGAGAGTCCATGATACCTCAGGCCCATGGGAAGTCGAGAGATGGGGAATCACCAAGGCCTGGTTTCACTGAAGATTTTAGGAACACTTTTGTAGAAACAGGTGTGTGTGTGTGTGTGGTGTGGGTGGTGTTTGTGGAGTGAGCATGTCTCTTGGGGAGTTTATGTGGGAATGTATTTGGGGAGTTTAGGGGCTAGTGGGCATCCAAGCACTTATCAGGAATTCCAGCTCCAGGTGAAGAGATTAGTTCTTAAACAAAACTCCTCCTGCAGGAGGGAATTTGGTGTGTTCACAGGACTGACAATCTGGATAAAGAAGCCTGAACAACCACATCAGAATCTGGCTTCTGACAAATGCTGAGAGAGACAGCTGACTCCAAGAGGGCTGGTGGACAGCTGATCAGAGCTGCACAGGTACAAGGGGGCTCTTGAGCAGTTTGGGGGCAGGGCCCTTGCAGTGACCAGCCCACCCTTGGCTTTCAGGGGACACTGATGGGGATCATGCTAAGTGTAAGACCTTGGCTCTGGGCACACTTCTGGGCAGTGGGGTGTGATCTGAGAAGGGACTGCACTTTGCTGAGGTGCCCTAGTGGTCATTTGTAGTTACCTGTTCTTGAGTATTAAAATAAAGAGTTTGTACTGTGGGGCAGTTCCACAGTATGGGAGCTCTGTCTGTATTAAATGGTGAACTCTTTGAGCTCTGAGAAAACTCTCTTTTTTATATCATCTAGATCTTTTTTTTTCCCATTTGTTTTTATTAGTTGGAGGCTAATTACTTTACAATATTGTAGTGGTTTTTGTCATACATTGACATGAATCAGCCATGGATTTACATGTATTCCCCATCCCGATCCCCCCTCCCACCTCCCTCTCCACCTGATCCCTCTG